TTTTTTTTTTTTTGTTTTATTTTGTTTTGTTTTGTTTCATGTTTGTTTTTTTAATCTGTAATGCCATATGAAACATCGGTGATGCTTCTGCCCATTCAATTGTATTCTTTTACCCGGCTTCACGGTTTTCAATGGACGGCAAAGCAATTGTCTACCGTACGTTGGTAATCGGCATCATACTGCAGAATCTGTTTGTTGTTGCAGGTGTGGCAAATAAGCCGATAAATGATTTAGCCTCTAATAGATTATAGTTAATAAATTATAAGCTAAAAAATAAAAAAAATTTTGTTTGGCATAGAAAAAACCTATTCAATAACTTAACTAGTTCCTTTTCTTTTCAGAGTATGATTGTCATAAACTGACTTCACAGTGGAACAATCATTGTTATTTCAAGGTACAGATATGTTTTTATGTTTCACTCAATTAAACAATTTTTATAGCTATTAAATAGTCAACAGATTAGATCTTTCGAGGCATAAAATTGATAATTATTGATGATTGTAGGTAAATGGTGCATATGTAACATATCCAAAAGCACAGTTTTTATGTAAAGCTGTAAATGCATCAATTGTAAGCATTGAATCAGCGGAGGAGAACAATTTTGTTCGCAGTAAGAATTTTTTTTTTTTGTTGTTGTTGTTGTTGTTAAATTTCTTAATGCTATATGACAATCGTAAATTTCATTAACTAAATTTAAATTTGCTAAAAATATGTCTAAATTGAGTTAATAATTTTAAACCATATTTTGACAACTTGAAACAGTTTAATTCTTTATATAAAAATTCAATTAACAGTTTTATTCATTTCCCCGTCATCTATGTGTACATATTTCTGACTATGTTAACCACATTAAAAGCTATTCAATTAATGATTGTAACAAGTGGAGTATATTTGGCTTAGAAAATAAAAAAAAAGTACCAAAAAAAAAAACGAAACTATAAGTGAGAGAAGAAAAATGAGAGCAGAACAGCAGTTACAACAAACAGTAATCTATATTAAATGTCCTCATTAAATGTTGATGCGATTTTTGACAATGTTTAATTTGCAGATTTAAGTGATCCTTATTCCACCTATTGGATTGACATAAAACCAAATATCAATGCCAACAAAAATGCTCAACAGACTGCAGATAATTCTGGATACAGTAATTGGGATATCAGTAAAACAATGGATGCTGGTAATGGCAACTGTACGATATTCAATTCGGTTACCGGCTTCTGGGAATCTGTTAATTGTACAAACTATGCCAGTGTGATTTGTGAAAAAGATTTTGTTCCGATTATCGATGAACAAAAGCCATCAGAAATTTATCTATCGTCAACAGCATCAACACCGTCACCACCATCACCATCTGCAGCACTGATATCGCAGTCTTCAGAGATATTGACAAAAAAATTGTCTCCTGCAATGGACCGTTATTGCAGTCAACGTAAACGACCAAAAACTGTTTTACAGCTAAGCACAAATCGACGCTTTATTTTGGGTCCATTGATACCAACAGTACAACTTTTTGGCAACAAATTTTTTGCTTTTTAAACTTTGGCCAAATAAAAACAGTTTAAATTTTTTTGATAATTCTTTTCTGCTTTAATTTGTGTCAAACAAATAAAAATTTATACCCAATTTTTTAATATTAATTTTTTTTTTTTTTTTTTGTAAGGTTATAAAAATTTTGTCCGTATATTTATTGATATATTTATATTTATATTTCTCTGTAACAAAATTATATTTCTTCCGTATATTTATATTTCTCTGTAACAAAAATATCAAAATTCTTTTTTTTTGTTTTATGTTACCAAAAAATAATGGAAAAAAAAAAGAGCAAAAAAAACAACAGATATTTTTTTCTGTTTTTTTGCAGCGAAGTAATAACAGCAATTTTACAAAGCAAAAAAAAAAGTGTCTAATTTTAGTGAAATCTCTGAAGTTCTCTTATCAAATCATTCAAAAAGAAAGGTTTTTTTTTAGAAATATTTTAAAGCAATTTTTTTTTTCACTTTTTTCCAATAATCTTTCATCTTTTTTTGCTTAAACAGAGGCAAAGCAGCAATTAAAGTAAAATAAAGTAAAGCAAAAAAAAAAAAAAGAGAGGATTCAAAATTTTATCTACTTGAAAATCTGCTAAGAAACTGTCCGGAAAAAAACTGAAGTTGAAAAAAAGCGACAGCTTATAATTAAAATTTCTTGCAAAAAAAAAAAATTTTTTTCGTCTGTTCTTTGATTTCGCTTTCTGCTTTTCCTTTTCCTTTTTTTTTTTTTTGCTTGACTTTTTGTAGAAAAAGGAGAGAAAAAAAACACTTTGTTCTTGAAAAGTTCTTCTTAATATAGTTTTCGTTTCTATATTTCTTTTCTGCTTCTTAGCTGTCTCTTTATGAAACTATAAAACAAATGTATTTTACTGTATTATCAATAAAATTTTTCTGCTCTTTTTTTGATTAAAAAAAAAAAAAAAAAA